ATATTGTAAGAATTCTCCCTGAAATTAAATGAATGAAGTCAGAATAACCATTAACGTATTCTAACATTGAATTTCCTGTTTCGCACAACGTAAAGCTTGCTCCTTTACACTTGACGGACAGATGCTTTAAAAAGAAGAGATTGCAGTAGCGGAGCTGCCAGGGACTAACACACGTGAAGGCAATTTCCCAGCCATTTTTATATTTAGCTTTCTGCTTCCCCCTGCTTTTTAGAGATTATAAACCAGCTATATATTTCCAGCATAATAGTATGGCATATTTATCTCTGTTGCAAGGAGTCGAAACTATTATCAAAAGACTGATATCTGCCTAAACCAAACGAAAAAGTTTTAATTTTCTTTTCCTCCGTTCAAACCCTCATGCTAGTCCAGCACAGAGGCAGCGATTCCAACAACCATGCTTTTAGTCCCTATATTACATGCTCTAAGAAGCAGCGGAGGTGGAAACCGTGATCCTACATATATGTGTCTTTAAAATACTCTCAAACTAGTATATAATAGCACCTTTCTTGCAAAAGTATTATGCACTTAGAATTGACTGTAAAATAAATTATCGGTGACGCTGCACGTGCAAAAGAGGACCGTCAGCCCAGAACTGGCGATAACCAGCAACGCTCGTTGCGAATAAAGTGCTTTTTCACTCGTTTTTATTCCACTGCCTTTGGGACACTACCTTAGGGCACACCTGGGTAAGGCTGGTGTACCAATGGCTTTAGTTTTATGGCTGGGGTTGTGACATTTCCCGACCCGACGTGCGGGACTCGGAGCCCTCAGTCCCAGGCCAGCCGCCCCGAGACGGGTCACGCACGGACGCACAGCCGATACCCAGAGAAAACTCGGAATTAAACAGTATCAGAATCGTGTTTAAAGAAAACTCATGCGTGAGGAAAGCGTGTGTATTTTTCCCTGCGGATAACAGAGTACTCAGCTGAGGGAATAAGCAGCATGACTTCCAAGCAAAACAAAACCCCGGTAGGGAACAGCGCGCTGCTCTAAGGGAGCCGGTCCGTTTCCATTGCTCCCCAGAGCAGCTCCCAGCTCACGCCGCATTACTGACTCGGACAAACTAACCAACTCGGAGTTTAAACCGTAGGAGAGTGTATTACCTTTTTTAACCAGTTGATCGTGTTAAAACGCCAAATTTTCCCTTTCGCTCTAATTAGCAGAATTGAGCCAAGCGAAAAAATCCCGCAGGGGCTTTTACTGAGAAAGTTCAGCGAGTAGAGGGACTGCTTGCACATAAAGCTTGCAGCAATTTTTAGGGCTGTCACTTTCAGGAGAAAGGAAAATATTTTTCTGTATAATGAACATGAGGTAATAAACTAAGCAACTACAGTTGACTTTGTTTGGGAGATTTGTTGAAACCGTTTCTACAGCTCATTGATCTGGGATCAAAGAAAGAAAGGTGTGTTTTGAATCTAAGCCGAGAAAGTAAAAGCTCCCTGGTTTGTACAGAAAATGTTGGCAGTTTGTGACCCTTCAAGTGCCCCTGGCCTTATAGACGGATTATCTCCGTTCTTTTCTGGCGTTTTGTTTTGACTGTTTGGGTATTTTCGAATTGTAACCTTAAAACACACAGCACTGCGCTGCTTCTCCATCCACTCGCTTAGACTTCACTTCCCCGCCGCGTTTAATAGGGAGCTTCTTCTGACACTCCTGAAACCTCCGTGGTCGCACGACTCCTGGGGTCATTCGTTAACTTTCCCAACCTAACAATGCCACCGAGAGTTCATCCTTCTGATTTATTGACCTTTTAAACCCGCCGGTACGCAGTGCGGGGGCGCGGAGTGGGGATCCTCCGGCGAGAGATGTGTTTCTATTTCAGGTCCATTACAGAATGCGGCGTTGGAAGTGGTGCTCCCAGCGTTATCAGAGCCGACCACAAATGCCACATGAAAAGCAGCAAACATCCGGAGGGTTTCCTGCAAATCGAGCAGTTTCCCAAGACAAGAGCCTTTTTAAAAAAAACGTGTATTTAAAGGCAGCACACTATGCCTCTTTAGGGCGACTCAAAACCACTAAATGAAAGCAGCCGAGCCCGACAGCGCGGCATAGTACGAGAAATCTCCCCGAATGAAGAATTTTGGGACTTTGCGTTAGGAAAGTGAATTTATTGCAAAGGCCCTGGTCAGGAAGGATCCACTATTGAATGGGGAAAAAAAATCAAAACCTCAAAAATGAGAAATATCCCTTTCAGCAATTCTAACTATGGAAACACCATTAATTACTTTACATCAAAATAATAGTCCCTAGCATCTTCGCCTGCCTCACTTTACTCTGCAAGTTGCTTTCCAGCAGATGCACGCAGACCCGAGGAAAGCTCGAGGCTCCAACTGCCCTCAGCATCCGAAGCGGAGCCTTGGCTGGAATCACGTCCCGTCG